TCATTGTTTATGTATGCATATAATTACATGTATGTATGTATGCATGCATGCATGCATGTATGTATGTATATAGGTATGTAGGTATGTATGTATGTATGTATGTATGTATCTATGTATCTATGTATCTATGTATTGCCCCAAATTAGGGCTGTCTTTCTGGGGGTCAATCTAATGAGTGTTGTATCATTTGTGGGTCCATATTGGGGCCGCCGATGCCTGGAAATTATTATGCTAGTATGCATCTATGATCACGGTCCTGGGGATCCTAGCCCCCCCCCTCCTCCCATGGTATGGTCCCCCCTCTCCAGCCCAAACCTCTCAAAAGTGCCAGCAGTCACAGGGACGGGGCCCCTCGCGGTCGCGATCCTCTAAACGTCGTCGTTTTTGATGCCGCTGGCATTACGAACTGAACCGCCATCACCACAGTACCACAGGGAGGGGGGGTGGGGGGTGAAATAAGGTACAGCTGGTAAGGGCTTCTGGACTGGCCAGACTTAGGTTAGCCTTTCTGTACATGGGCCAGTTTCTCTCAGAGAGCTGGATAGCCGACCAACGGGACAGTTCTGTAACATGGTCCTGTTGCTGCGCTATCTGCTATCAGTCCATGTACAGCTCATGTGACGCAACTGCATGCTTGTTGTTGCCGCTCTCAAGGTTCTGGGGAATACTCGAGTAGCGCGTAGTGGAAAAAGAGACGCCCACTCGCCTGTCTACTGTACACTGTTTGTGAGGTATTTCACGCTCGGGTCAATCTCAGCGAAAAGGGGGCAACTCTGGATCACATATACTAGACAACCTGGTCTCCTTCTACTGGTGACTTAGCTTAAGCTAAGCTCTTAAACGGCCACCCGGAAGGTGGAAGTTCATGTCACTTCTTGTTCGCCACGGATGGCCATTCATGTTGGTTGCATGGGCAACTGGCACAGCATTGTCTTGTCTCCTTACCCTGCTTCGTGTGTTGCCAAAGTTCTACGAATCTGGTTCCTACTGTTGGGATGATCTTGGTTGTATGTTTCTTGTAATGCTATTGTTACGACTATTATTAGTATTGATACTAGTATAAGTGTTGATTGGAAAATACTATCAAGTCGCTGATAAGGCCAAAACAGGGTATACATGTAGAAGTACCAAATTTCCTGCAGCAACATTAAATCCTGAACCACCCAGGAATGGGAGTTCATTGACGGAGAAGCCATATCTATGAGCACCTCTGCCACTGTGGCAGGCGTATTGTCGTCAATTGGTGGGTTGCTTCTGTTCCCATTTCTATGCGGCAAGGACCACAGATGTTTCCTGGATTGCGCATGCATCGAGCAGACTGACAAGGCCAGAATGCAAGAAGGAATCCGTAACATTGGGGGCTTCCTCCAGTCCGCTGAGGAGTTGCATGTCTTGCTGAGTGAGCCATATCTGACGAGGTTGTGGCTTGGAACTTGAATTGATGAAAATGCAAATTTCTGCATGTTTATAACCCGAATCACGATGATTTTTGTTACGGTTTTGAGGGCTAGACATGCAAGGTGGTGTGTGTTCGAGCTTGCAGCCTATCACAAACTCAACCCTTCTGGAAGAATCACCATTGCTCCCGTCTTCGTGGAAGTCAGTGTGTGCCTACTTTTCGCATACCTGCATGTTGCATCCTGGTTCTTCATGGCCCTCAGGACAAGTGCAATTGGCCAAACCGGGTGGATATGGATGGTTTTAGCATGTTTTGCATGCTCCTTATTTCCATTGGTGCATGCCATGCGACATATCTGTATGTACAAGCAAGCTCTGCTGTCCAGCTTGGGAAGCTTTAGCTTCGAGACTTTGGCTTGCGCCAACGAGTCCGACAGGCTCATCATCCGAGAAGCTATAGTGCGCTGGTATGGCAGTGTGGAGGCCTTTTCGGAATTTGTCCGAGGCCCATTCCGGAAGGTGGTACATGACTCCGTCAGGACTCCTGGAGGTATGCCTTTCGGAAACTTGGCTGCTAATGGCCTGGATCTTGGGCCTTTGATTTTTTGCTCCCCAGGGATTATGATACAGGCCTGCACCCTAAACGCGACAGGGGTCTTTCAGTCAGCTCAGGATATGTTCTTTTGATGGCAACGGCCGTCCTCAACCCTGCTTTAGACAGATTGCTGTCTCTGCTGTGCGCTGGAACTTCTGTTGAAACAGTATCTTGACTGTTATAGGGTTTAGGGCTCGGGGCCTCTGCCACTCCTGATTTTAGACGAGGCCTGCGCGACCTCTAATGCATTGGCGAATCTTCGACCCCCGAAACCAAAACTTTTTGGATTCTCCGAACATTCTGTACACAACGCCAAAACCTCAAGAGAATCCTTCATAAGGTTAAATGCATCCCCATGTGGAGTTCAAACACCCTTTTAACTTTGTGCCGAACAGTGACGATCGCCACACTGAGCCTGTAGAACCCCACCCCTATGCATTTGCCGTGAGCTTCAATGCGTTTAACACTAAACACTGAACCCTTAGCCTTAAACGCTGAACCCTAAAGCCCAGACCTAAACTCTCTGTTTCCATTTCATGTTCCATATGCTTTTCCAGCTGATTCCATTATTGGGGTACTGACCCCCCTGCCCTAACCCCTGCACCTTCTATATGTAGTCCGACTCCCTAAACATCCTTAAACCCTCAACTCAGGTTTGGGCCTACACTTGTGGAGCCATTCTGGGGCTACACATGGCTTTTTATCCTGCCATGATTATTTTAGGCGGGGGGCGTGCTCTGAAAAATTAGGGGTCCCTTTGAGGCGGATGTAGGGTTGAATAGAGCTGTGCATGGGGGGTATGTCTGAATAGATATTTCCATTGCGATCTACATCGGGACCCTAAATCCCAAGCCCCAACACCAAGTGTTTCAAAACCTACCAACCCCAAACCCTAAACCCTAAATAGTAGTTTCCATTTTCTTTTCCATTATCCCTAAATAATCCCTGTATAATTCTACATAAGCCCTATATAACCCTATACGGTCCCTATCTACCTCCTATACAACTCTACAGGGCCCCCAAAAAACTGTATTTTCTGACATCCCCAGGTCTCCACGCCTGCGACCGATGGGCCAGAGAATGGTGGGCGGTTCTGAAACTTTTGCTTCAGGGTTTAATGAGGGTTAAGGTACCTATTGGGCTTATATTGGGGTTATATAGGGATACTGGAAAAGAAAAGGGAAACTACTATGTAGGGTTTAGGGTTTAGGGGTGGAGGAGATATTGCACTCTCGTAGGGGGTTTAAAAGTCAATTGCGGTACTGTCTGGGACTTAGGGTACTTTACGTCGTGCATGGTGTCTTCCATCAACTGTAGGTCACGTTATCAGCTTGTGTATATATATATATGGCTTTCAAGCATAGTAGGGTTTTGAGTTTAGGGCTTATGGTTTTGGATTTTGATTCTAGAATTCAGGGCATACTGCCGGGTGTATGTATTTGCTCATTGCTGGGGAGGACCAGAAATCAGGATCTTTACCATAAAGCATATACGCCTCAACATAATTGTGCTGTTGCACCCGCGCAGGCGGGATCCCAAACCCTGAACAGTCTGGTTGAGAAATAGCAGGCCACACATCCCAGACCCCTATATCCTGAAAAGAGTCCATGCAATTTGGGAAATCCTACTAAACCCTAGTTGAAGGTTACTGGCACTTACTAACAACTTATACCTGGGCACATAACCTTATAATTCTTCTAATTGGGACTTCGACAAGTACTTACTAAGTCCCAAGAACCTTCGAGTAAACCCTAGAGTCCCCCTTAAGTAGATAGAATCGAGCTTTGGGTAGAATACAATAAGATCCCCATATACCCCATATTCTATGTAGCATATACACTATTATAATATAGTGGTTTCATTTTCTTTGCCATTATCCCTATATAACCTCTATACAACCCAATATTAGATTTCCCTCAGGGGGAGTATACCCCAAACCCTAAACCCTAAATAGTAGTTTCCATTTTCTTTTCCATCATCCCAATATAGCCCCTATGTGGCTATCTCCTTAAGGGGACTATATCCCTAAACCTTAAACCCCATATTCTAGCTACTTAATGGGGACTATGACCAGGTCATGCGGCTGCGCAGCCGTAATGCAGACCATGGGAATTGGACTTACCATTTGGCTGCTTTTTGCGCTGGGCACTATTACTGCATCTTCAGCAACTGAGGTCAAAGTTTTGAAGCACTTTAACTTTCACATGTCTTGTAGGGTTTGATTCCTTTCTTCTGTCTATATGGTAGTTGCCATAATCGGGGGGCTCAAGCCTTGGTTTAGAGTGACCTGCTAACTGGGTTGGCCTTTGCGATACTTAAATATTTTCCTAATTGGTTTCATAAGGACCCAATATATTAACATTTTTCAAAGGGTTCCGAAGGCCAACCAAGCTAATTCAGTCTTAAGGATTGAAGTTTCAGCAACATAGGGATCAGGCTGGCCAAAGGATATATGGACCAAGGCTTACCGTGGGACCTTGCCATATCCTGTGTCCATGCTGCTTTGGACTGGGTTTTCTTTGCTTTTGGCCTTCTTCACGTGGAGGCTGGGTATGTAAAACTTCGAGTTATAACCAGTGAATTTTCTGCATACGCTTGAACTTCTAACTACAGTCCTGGAGAGCACTAGTGTGTTTGGCAATTTGGCCACCTAGCCCCGAAACGCCAAATCCTAGACTTGGGGACTTCGAATTGGGTTGTAATATATAAGCGCATCTACCTCTCAGGATAGAAATAAGATCTTTCTCAAAGTACCCCAGACGCGAATCCGTTGCTTAACTTGCAAAATGGTTCTAACAAGTCCCAAAGCCTGAAAGTGTCGAACCTGTGCGAACAAATAACGAGAATAACCCCTTACCCCAAATTGTTACGCCCCCCCCCACTCACCATGATACCAAACATATCTTAGGCATTGTTTTGGTGTTAAGGGGGTGAGCGGCTTTTAAGTTCAGGGGCTGGGAATAATTGAGCGCTAAACCCTTAACCCTTAATTCATTAGCATCAAACCCTTATGTCAATGTTTTATCAGCAGAAGGCCCTTTTCAAGGGACCTTAAAGCCCCGAAACCAATAGCCCCAGGGCTGTAAGACCCCGAACTTCAAACGTAGAGGGCCTCAGCCCTAAACGGGCTCATTTTGGGATTTACGGTTGAGGGTTTAGGGCTTAGGGCTTGTTTTGGGATTTAGGGATATGACCCCGAAGAATGGAAGAGAAACTAAACATGAAATGGAAGCTGGGGTTCTACAGTGGTTAAATCATCAGGGGTTCCATAAATCACGGAACGCAGCACGGTCCCCAAAATACCGTATTCTTGTTTACTTGTGAGGTGGGGCTCACAAAAGGGGGCTTCGGATGGTTGAAAAAACCCCTACACCCTGAACCTCCACCTACCTGCATGCATACATACATGCACCTATATATTGCACATATGCATACATCTGTATATAACATATATACGTATATTCGTATCCTGAAACCAGCCTTCTACAAACCCTATATGAAGCCTATATAGCCCTCCCCAGCCCCGTGAAAGGGGCCCTTGATTTTTGGGAAACTCCTGAACGGATCTTTGCGGTTGCTGCTGAGGATTTCATTTTGAAAAAAATATGACCTTCTGTCAATATTACGGCTGCCCAGGGACCGTTTAGGATTTATGTCTTAGGTTCACACTTGAGGGTGTAAGGTTTGAGCGCAGACATGGTGTTCCCTCTGGTTGTTTAGTAGAGTTTCTAAGGAATTCCCTACTATAGGAACCCGAGTCCATGAATTTTCTGGGGAAAGAGTGACCCTAGCTCATATGGGGGGTTTCCCAAGATTAGTGTATTGTTTGAGGTTCCCCTCATCTTGGGACTGAGGGTCTAGATTGGGGGTCCCCCTGTTTAGGGGAATTTCCATTTCGTAAGCATACAGGGTTTCCTTGAATCCCTTCCCACCTATTTAAACCCCACCCCTTGCATTATTCAACATTCCCAATGCTGTTGTAGTATACCACAATGGGAATATTCAATATTGCCGGGGTTCTAATATTCATTAAAAGGATTGGTGAATTATACGGTTTCCTTTCCACGGTTCAGCGTTTAGAGGCTTTTATTTGAAGATCTCTGAAGCAACCCAGTATAGTTGCGTGGAGGTGCCTCTGGCAGCGCCGAGGCCCTGTCATATCCTGAGCAGATTTGGCAAAGGATAGACGAATTTGGCAGAAGATGGCACAGGTTTAGGGTGTAGAGTTGGGAATTTCTCATTGTAAGCCCCAGCCTTATACCATCTCTAAGGAGACTTCGATGGAGTGTCGTTTACAGTCCACCTGTTGTTGGTGGAGGAAATCTTGCAGCACGTAAGGTCCTTAAAGTACTGTTATACTCAGGAACCAGGGTACTAAGGGTGTGCAGGAAATCCCCCAGCAACAATATGCCTCTAGGATTCCGATGGGTACTGTACCCTTTTTGAGAAGCCATTTTGTACAGTTTTTTCAGAAATTGTTTCACACCCGCGGGCAAGAACCTGTCCAGCCTCGGCTGGCTGGAACTGGTATACTTGGAGGGAAGGGCGGTACTTTGAATTCTATCCGAGAACTTACAGTACTTGGGGACTTGTGGGACTTTCACACTCACTTGGGCTAGGCCGGCAGTTATAAGTGGGCTGCAAGTATCGGTACCTCAGCCTTACCGAGTAGGGGTCTCAACTGTTTGAAGTGACCTGTTCCTCAACAGCACAATTACAAGCGTGAATGACTGTCAATGATATTCCATCAAGACTCTTGTAAATCTAGAGCGCAATTTCTCCTGAAACTCAGTACTAGTTCTTCAGGTCCTCAATCCCAAACCCTTTCGTGTTCAACCCGCAGCCCGTACAGCACTCGCTCCTCAACAAAGTGAAAACCACTATAATGTGTTATATTATAGGGACTAGTATAAGGATTCATCCCTGAACCCACAATGGGACTACTATAAAGAAAATGGAAGCTACTACAGTATATTGGGGACATATTGGGATAATGGAAAAGAAAATGGAAACTACTATAGGTACGCATTGGGGTAATATTAGGTATAAAGGGTTATTTAGGGACAAGACCCCAGTCCCAGAGCGCGAGGAGGAGTGGGAGCCATGCTCGGACATTTGGCATACCTCCGACCTACGGCTTGCACGCAAAAACACGCTTTAGGCTTGAAGGGTTGAGGGGTTGAAGGGTTTGGGGTTTAAGGGTTTAGGGTTGAAGGGTTTTGGGGTTGAAGGGTTTGGGGGTTGAAGGGTTTGGGGGTGGGTTGCCTTACCGCCCCCCCATAACCTAGCCTCCTAGGTTCCCCCTTCTACTAGGCTCATGTGGGGGACATCCTGGGGTGGTAGTATGTGGGGGAGGCGGGGCATGAAATAACGTTGAACCTACAGTCCGAGACTTTGAGGGGCGTGCTACTTGCAACCTAACTAGTATGTCTCTCTATGACCCTAAACCTTAAACCCTAAAATCATAGAGTCCCAAAGTCTGGTAACTATGGGGACAATGGAAAAGAAAATGGAAACTACTATAGTATATTGGGGTAATCTTGGGATAATGGAAAAGAAAATGGAAGCTACTATAATGGGGTTTGGTAAGTCCTTTTTCCCTTTTTGGGGGGTCCTAACTTCTTTGCGAAAATCAGCTATGTTCAAAAGGGGGTCCTCTTTGGCTGGAGGATACAGAGGATCCTAGTACAGCTATAAGTAGGTTATACCTAAAGTCAGCAAAGGTGAAAGCTAAGACAGCCGCCCTGGTAGCCTTCAAAATCAGAGAACGAAACATTTCCTGTAGAAATGAACCCACCACCCCTCTGATTCAGAAATATCCCTGATTTTCGAATGGCCTTTTATTGGGGTATTCATCATTAGGAGGTGGCGTTGGGGCCATGACTGGGGCGAGCATTGCAATTGACCCGAGGGATAACAATCAAAACGTGTTAAAACCTACCGCTAGGGTGGGTTCTTATGGTCTTGGCACCAGCTCAGTCTATACCTTACCTGAAGGAATGTATGATCATAGTGACCCTTTATACTCCCCAAGTCTAGGCCATGTTCTTTCCCATGCTTCATTCCCTTCTAGCCAGTTGTAAGATGTAATTTTTCCTAAACACTGAAGCCTAGCCCATGGGCGTTTAAAATCCAGGGTTAGCAGTGGTTGGCCAGCACCAGGTTCATCCTCCAAAGAAAGAGCAGACTCTGTCAAACAAATGAGGTAGGAGCCTAAATATCGTATATAGTATATAGGGTCCCATAGGAATATTCTAAGGTGATTGGGGCCATACAGAGGGTCCCCCCGGTGGTCTTGTGGCCTGTGGTTTTGGTCCTGTGGCGAGGGTTTGGATGCATGACAGATGGGGTGTTTGCCGCCTAGGGTTCAGGAGTTTAGGGCTTCAACTTTAGGATGGCTTCTGGGCTGAGGGTTTGCCTCTCCATGTTGGAATGTCCGGCAGTGGCTCGGTTCCGCATTTTGCGCAGTCTAAACTTTGTATTTCCAGGCCTCAGGACAAGAAGAGTCCAACGTAGAAGCAGTTCCAACAGCAAGCCAAGCTAGAAAAGTAGCTGCTTCACATGGGGCATGCAGCGAGCAGCTGTTGTGCTAAAGATGAGAAGCCAGCCGCTGTCGAAGACATTGACGCTGGTTCCAAAGGGGCTTCAGTTGACACGACCCAATCTGCTGTATTCGACAAAAAGATCAGTTGCAGCAGTGTGGACAGCGTGGTCAGTGTGGCCCAAAGCGTCGATCTTACACACACTGGCAGCTCCCTTAGCTTGCTGCGGGGCATATTTCTTCGTAAGACGTTTCGGGGTGGAGGAAGCATTTGGCGGCGCAAACCTGCAAATCTGACAGATGAGCAGCTATCTGTCAATTTTGCGCTTTCCGAGCCAGTTCGAAGCCTTGACGTTTTCTTGTCGCATACTTGGCTGACGCCTGGAAGGTGGAAGTTCTTGTCGCTTCTTGTCCGCTATGGCTGGCCCATCATGTTGGTTGCGTGGGCATTTGGCACAGCATTGTCTTGCCTCTTTACTTTGCTCGGTGCGCTGCCACTGTTCTACAAAGAATGGGAATTCCACGGAATCGGCTTTGATGAGGTCATGTCCATGGGCTTCTGGGCTACCCTGGCAGGCGTAGCTTCCTCAACAGGAGGATTGCTGCTGTCCCCCTACATGTGCGGCAAGGACCGCAGATGTTTCCTGGATTGCACCTGCATCGATCAGACCGACGAGGCCCGGATGCAAGAAGGAATCCGCAACATCGGAGGCTTCCTCCAATCAGCTGAGGAGCTACATGTCTTGTGGACTGCCCCGTACCTGACGAGGTTGTTGCTTGGATGTTGAACAGATGAGGATTTACATTCCTTAGATATACTGTGTTCGGTTTCATAAAGTCCCAACAACAGTAATAACTCTCATCCACGTTTTCGAATGCTTCTGAATTAGATGAGCAAGGTGGTGTGTCTTCGACCTTGCAGCATACCACAAGCTTAACCCTTCTGGAAAGGTCACCATCGCTCCGGTCTTCGTGGAAGCCATTGTGTGCTTGCTTCTCGTGTACATGCATGTGGCCTCCTGGCTCTTCGTGGCTCTCAGGATCAGTTCAACTGGTGGCACCTTGTGGATATGGATTGTCTTAGCTTGCATGGCTGGATCCTTCTTCCCGCTAATGCACGCATGCCGACACATCTGCAGCTATAAGCGGGTTATGTTGGCCAACTTGGGCAACTTTGACTTTGAGAATTTGGCGTGCGCGAATGAGTGCGACAGGGCCATCATCCGGGAAGCTATAGCGCGCTGGTATGGCAGCGTGGATGCTTTTTCCGGAATTTGTCCGAGGCCCGTTCTGCAAGGTAGTACATGACTCCGTCAACACTCCAGGAGGTATGCCTTTCGGATATGTGTTGATGCTGGTGACCCCCATCCTCAACACTGCCGTGGACAGCTGGCTCTCCTTGTTGCTTGCGAATGCTCCCGCCGAAACAGTTTCCTGGGAGTTGTTACGGATTTTTTAACAGCTGCTCCCAGATGAAACGAGGCCTTGATACAAAGCCCCCATGAATCCCAACGGAACTCAACCTAATTAGACTTGCGTCGGTGACCTCAACCCTAAACTCCAACCAAACCTTCAGGTTATATTATAAGGCCAACTATAAATAGGTACTGCGTCCCACGAACTTCAAGTACATGGCCCCATGAATCTCAAAGTGGGCGAACAACAATGCTAAGCCCGGATCAAGGGTTTAGGGGTTTAGGATCGTATGATTTCGGCTTGTCGGCCGAGAGCTTCAATTGTTTTTCCCTACCCCCATTACCAAAATCCACGCGCCGCCCCCGCCCCTCCCAGCGCCCCACAAATACTAAATATGTTGAATTGTTGAAGATTGTTGTTGAAGATTGTATAGATATCTCATTGTGGGAGACTCCAATAGTAGGGCGGGTGGGGTTGATTGGGCTCCCTAACCCACAAATCCCCAATCCAACACTAACCCCACGAACCCTTAAAGCCTGAGACCTTAACCTTGAGCTCTAGCTCTAAACCCTACTTGAGTAGTTTTTCTGGGGGGGATACTATTGTACCCAATATAGAGTCAGATTAGATCCGCCTTTTGGGCATAGCATGTTGAATCTAAGGGAAATCATCTTACTTGGTTCAACAAAAAACAAAGTTACTCACCTGGGACGTATGGAAGCCTCGAGCTCAGGTTTCCGCTGAAGTAGATAGATTATGGGGTAGTTTGGGGATCTTATTGTGGCTTTCGGAACTGCCATATTCTACCTACCTACAGGGACTAGACTCCTGTGCCTAACCTTAATGATGAGCAGGCTGAGCTTGCAGAATCCGTCTAAAACCTTTGGGCATTCGCCAGTTAAACGAGGTTTGAGTGTTTCCGTCTACAACCCCTACGCCCAGAACCGCATACCCAAGCCTTACGCCGTCAACTCTACACCCGCCCTGAACCTTGAGACCGAAACCGCAAGTCCCAAACCCTGAAACCCAAACCAAGATTCAACCTCAGGTTTGGACATTACTGATATAATCACCAAAACGAAACACATATCTTACAACCTGAAGTTCAGGTTTGGACCTTCGCTGCAGTCATGTTCGCGTTGGATTGGCTTTGGTATCCTGCCGTCGCTTAGTGCCCACTTATGGGGAAGTGGGGGAAGTCTTTTTAGCTAGTAGAATAGGATGTGGAGCTTAGGGTCCAGGTTTCAAACTTTAGGTTTTGGGGCTTCAGATTTAGGATTATGGGTGCTGCTAGAACTGTTATGTAGGGGATCCGTTTCTCGCTTTCTCCAGCAGCCGTAAGGTCATTGGTTCTGGTCTCTACGCCTGCGACCGATGGGCAAGAGAGTGGTGGGCAATTTTCAAGAGTTAATCTTTTCCCGTGTATTAAACACCCCCAACCCTGTATATTATTCTTTGGTATAAGAGAGGTTTATGGGTGTCAGCATGCACAGGCCCTCGCCCTGCCGCCCCACTTCATGGTCAACGATATAAAGTATGTTTAACACATTACCCCTCTTGTGGTGTTGTGGTCCTTTTGACTGGGTCTTGTGGAAAAAGTGTGAATGCTTGATAGTAGGTTTACAGAGGATTCAAGCATTTATAGAAGGTTTACGAGAGGTCAGTAAGCTTTGCTTAAGTGTTTCTAGAGGCTTTAGAAAGGTCTTCTAGAGCTTCATTGAGGGCTTATAGAGGTAAGCCCCTCCCTGTGGACTTGCGCAAGAAATTCAAACTGTACAACGCAGCATTTTTTTGATTCCAGGGTGCCAAAGCGATTTAATGTCCCTAAGGTCTGAGTTTTGGGAAGCCAAAATTGAGGGAAGTTCCAGTGTGTAAATGTGTTGTGCTGTCCCGAAATGTGCTTCCGGAACCCAAAAAATGCAAGCTTTTTCCCTAGCTGCGGCTGTAAGCGATTGGCTAGGCGCGGCTGAGAGGATTTCAGCCACGGCCAAAAAAAAAAAAATCGTCCGGGGGCCAGATGGGTTCAAGAGAAATCCAGGCCTTTGGCATGAAAATCTATAGAATCGCTTACATTTTACATGGCCACTGGTAAAATTCCTGCACTTCTTTTTCCAAACCACGGCTGTAAGGGTTTCAGTAGAGACATGTTTGCACGCCTTAGGCGAGAGCTCGATTTTGAGCCAGAGTGTGAGATGCCCCATCAGAGCTTGACCTCGTATCAAAATATGAGGATGCTACAGTGCTACAGGCCAGAGGGAAGCCTTGAGCCAAATGCCAGGACGCTCCATTCGAGAACTCAATTTCGAGAACAAATGTTAATGTGAGGATGCTCCATTCGAGAGTTCAATGTCACGTCAACATGCGGGGATGCTCGACAGAAGTGAGCATGGATGAGGGTGGGCGGGCGCATCTGCAACACAGCCTCACAGCCATACCTAGGAGAAAAAAACACGGTGTCCAACCCAAAAAAATTCTGCACTGCCCCTTAAGCATGAACAATTAAGCTCACTTCGACTGGAATCCTAGCAAACCCCAAAATCCGAGAATCCAGGATTTCAGTATTGTTGCTGATTGAATTTCCAGAGGACTTCATACAGACTGGCATCCTACAACGGAAAAACCAAACAGCCAGGATTCCGGTAACTTTCTCATCACGTCGTAGAAGGTATTTGTATAGACCGCAGTCCCAACGAAAGCCGGACGACCAGGAGTACAGCATGTCAGCAATGTTTCTATTCAAATTCAAACATGTACTGAGACAGACCTTGTGCCTATCGAAAACCAGAATTCCAAAAATCCAGAGCTTTGGTTTTGGTAAAAGACGACTGCCTTCCCGCGCAGATCATAGGAAAGAGGGAAGGCGAGCATATAGATATAGATATAGAAATATGTATATATATATATTTCTATTTATATCCATATGTATATATATATACAGATATACACATAGCAGAGATAGGGAGACATCTATATGATATACGTATATTGTTTTTCCCGCGAGTAGGAGGTGGTTAAAAGAAGGGAAAAACCTCATTGCTGCCAGCTCTCAAGCCCTTAGCCGAAACCTAAACACAAACCCGCAACAATGAAATTCCATTTACTTTACAAAGGCTCTAACAGCCAGACCCTACAGCCAAAACTCGCCAGGTCCTACAACCCTGCCGCGGTATTTCAGACGATCGGAATTGGTCTCATGGTATGGCTGCTTTTTGCGCTGGGTACGGGAACTGCTTATTCGGTGAATCGGGGGGACTTACCATATCCTTGGTCCTTGCCGCTGTGGATCGGGTCTGCTTTTCTCTCTTTGCATTCATTGTGTGGAGGCGTGGATTGTTCATGTTACGCTTGTTTTGGCTGGTTCCAGATGCCAAATTCATGTCCCAGCATGAGATTACTTGGAGAAGGTCGCACTTGTAAAGGAGGACTCGAACAATGAGGATTTCCATCAAACCGTAGGCATACATAGTGGAGGTTCCTATACGTAGGTTCCCACAAGACTGCGGCGAAAAAAACAATTTGCCATCAACACTACACCCGAAACCCTAAACGCCAAACCCTGAATCATGGACCTTAAAGCCCTGACGCCGTGACTCTACCTACTTCCTGGGTCCTGACGATGGGATGTTCATTTAACTTCTAGGGGTTTACGAAATACAGAACAGATTTATAAGACCCCAAAATTAAACGGCCGTACTTGGGCTGGATAGTTCGAACCTCAAACTTTTCGTGGAGGTATCTTTGGCAGCTGCGAAGCCCGTTCACCTTCTGAGAGCGGATGACACTGCTTCTGGGTTGGAGGCTTGGCGCGTAGGATTTAGGTAGGGGATTTTGCGTTCAGGGCTTGGGGGCTTAGGGTGTAGCATTAGCTTTGCAGCATAATGTCCAGGGCCTTGAATTTGGTTGTGACAAGTTTGTGCTTTTCATTGTCTCACCCGCGCAGTCAGACATGTTCTGCGTGTACGTTGGGCTCCAGTTCATGTAGAGGCCCTGACGACTTGAACATGATTTCGGCTGGGTGGCCCTGATTTTCTTGCACGCGTTCTTTATAAGGGGTTGGGAGAGAGAATCCGTTGTACGGTGAATATGTACTTATGTAACTCCCTGCAGCTGTACTTGTGATTCTCCTAACCCCTCAGAAAAGCAGCAAGGTGCTTTAGTCACAGTCACAGCGAAAGCCAGGTGGACATTGGATGAAAAGCGGTTGGAGGGCTTCAGCCCGCGCCCCCTAGGGCTCATATGGCTTGTCAGAATGATGGTCCCTTTTGGGGTACCTGAGTACTCAAGGGCCGTACTATCATGGGGATAAAAAAAAGGGAATTATGATTTCAACAAGCTGCCAACTCTAGTTCGTCTTCGAGTGGTACCATGTAATCCCTTACCACAACAAATCTGCCAACGTGTTGCTGAATGTCACAGCATTTTTTGTTCACCCTTCCCCAGATGTAAACACGTCCACCTCTCCAACCCCACTGCCGAATATTACATATGTCTTATAAGAATTCTTTTTTCTGCGGTGGCACATTGGCGTCAGGTTGATTTCGTCCGTGCAGGAGATGACAAAATAATTAGGTTTCAGAAGCAAATAATATGAGGCGGGCGGGTTCCCTAGGAAGCTTTATGAGCCTGTGTGTATCTATATGTCTATATACATACATGTAGCTGGCTCTTGTGTGTGTGTGCTTGTGTTGGGTTCCAGTTGGGGAGCCACCAATACAGGTCTTACTGCAGATGGGTTGGCGCAAAAACAATGGAGTGGACTTGTCCATCGTAAAGGGGCTTGAACGTCTGCAGTGTGTGTGTGTGTGTGTGCTTGAGTGTTGGGCCTTACTGGTCGCGCGTAGTTCTTGTGGCTGAAATCTGTGCTGTTGGTCAACTGTAGGTGTTGGCTGTCTCATTGGGCCCATTTTTGTTGCAGGCCACAATTGTTTATGCGTGTCCCACCCTTATCCGCCCTACAACACGTAGTGTAATGAGAGAGATTAGTGAGCGCCAGTGCAGGTGTTGCGCGGTCTAATTGTGGGCATAAGATACGCCTCATAGCGCCTGCATACGGGTTGCGGCGCATGTGTGTGTGGACCTTGCTGGAGCTTGCTTACCCTGTCTGACATTCTAAGTCCCGCTACCTTCTCCCAAACAAGCATGGATGTAAATATAGTCCTGTTTTGAAAGGATAGTAGTCTACGCAGGTCACTTTTTGAGCTTCTGTGTTTGTTTGGGGGTGTCATTGCTGAAAACGGGTTCCACTTTTGCTTTTGCAAAATGGAGCTCATGATACTCGAAAGGTTCTTGTTGTGATTCCTCCGAACAGCCAGCGGCGGTTCGCGTTCCTTCGCGTTGTAGAAACTGTTGGCCAGGTTTGTCACCAGGAGACTTTCGCCATTTGGGTTGTAGCTCCAAAGGAGTCTGCGTTGGCAGGTTGCAGGAAGAAATCTCAACAATAATTGCACTTTTTGTCGATATGTAGCGCAAGATGTTGTTTCAAGCAGTTGCTAGGGAATTTGGCACAGCATCACAGGGTAGGTCCTGTGGGTTTGAGCTGCAGTGTTTTCCCTCCTCTTCTACGCCTCGTAGCTGCAATCCTGTCTTTCAGTAAGGGACTGAACACTTGCATGTTGTAAGGTTTAGGGGTCAATGCATAGGGAAAGCTATGATAGCTATGGTTATGACATTTTCGAGGATACTTATAGGCCGAATTCTTGAAGCTGTGATGAGCCTCCACATATTATGTGTGGAGGGGGTTGTGGTCTGAGGCTGTGAACACTGGGCACATTATTTTAGTGCGTTTAGTTGTTCAGCGTCATGTGTTTAGTTAGGTCTTGTGGTTTTGGGGCCCAGGGTGTGATGACTGACGGGCACCGCTCGCATAAATCGTCACGGCTGGAGAAAGCCCTCAACATTCATATGGTTGCATTGCAGGATCTTTTTCCGTGCGTTTGCGGACAAATTTATGTGTGTGTGTGTGTGCGCGTGTGCAGTTTTATACTTCTTTGCTTCCTGGTGGCAAACAAGTGAATGGTGTCTTCTTGTTGAATATAGTGATACCTACATGGAGATTGCCTCCGCAATTCGACGAATTGCAGCAGTCAAGTGGACATAGGTCACTGTATATTCCCCTAAACCCTCAAATAACAAAAGGCTGAACCTAGAAAACCTTAGACCCTAGAACCCTTAACCTAAAATCCTGAAAACACGAAACTCTGAACCATCCAGAACCCAAAAACCGTACGTAGAACATGTACCGAATTCTAGGCAGATCGAGAGCCTTGGGCTTAGTATACGGTTCAGGGTATTGGGATTTTGGTTTTGTAGTTGTTTTGGCGTCTAAGGATTTTTGGAGCTTTATTGGGTTCCAAGTTTTGAAATTCAGGATTTCAGGCTTCAGGGTTGAAAGTTTAGTGTGACTTCAGGGCTGTGGGTTTTTGTTGACAACGTTCAGGATTGTGCGGCAATGGTTCTGCTCTGCATTATCGAGGCTTTGAACATGAAAAATAGTAGTAGGAAGTCCAACATCAAGCTAGAAAACCAGCAATTTCGAATGGGGCATGCAGCCAGCACCTGTTGTGCTAAAGATGAGACGCCAGATGCTGTCGAAGACATTCACGCTGGTTCCAACAGGCCTTCCGGTGCCACGACCCAGCCTGCTGTACTTTCCGATGCGGCCATCACTTGGCAAAGCATCGATCTTACACACAGTGGCAGCTCCCTTAGCTTGCTGCGGGGCATATTTCTTTGCAAGACGTTGCGGGGCGGAGGAAGCGTTTGGCGGCGTAAGCCTGCAAATTTGACGGATGAGCAGCTATCTGTCAATTTTGCGCTTTCCGAGCCAGTTCGAAGCCTTGACGTTTTCTTGTCCCATACTTGGCTGACACCAGGAAGGTGGAAGTTCTTGTCGCTTCTTGTCCGCTATGGCTGGCCCACCATGTTGGTTGCGTGGGCATCTGGTACAGCACTGTCTTGCCTCTTTACTTTGCTCGGTGTGCTGCCACTGTTCTACGAATGGGAATTCCGGGGTATGGACTTTCCTGAGGTCATGTCCATGGGCTTCTGGGCTACCCTGGCAGGCGTAGCTTCCTCCGCTGGAGGGTTGCTGCTGTCCCCCTACATGTGCGGCAAGGACCGCAGATGTTTCCTGGATTGCACCTGCATCGATCAGACCGACGAGGCCCGGATGCAAGAAGGAATCCGCAACATCGGAGGCTTCCTCCAATCAGCTGAGGAGCTACATGTCTTGTGGAGTGCCCCGTACCTGACGAGGTTGTGGCTTGGATGTTGCACAGATGAAGATTTACAGCTCTGAGCTTCATTTTCAGACCTCATCCCAAATGATAGGTCCCCAAAGAATTTTTCAAAGACAACAACAAGAAGAGCAAGGTGGTGCGTGTTCGAGCTTGCAGCATACCACAAACTCAACCCTTCCGGAAAAATTACAATTGCGCCCGTCTTCGTGGAAGCCATCGTGTGCTTGCTCTTCATGTACCTGCATGTGGCGTCCTGGCTCTTTGTGGCTCTGAGGATCAGTTCAACTGGTGGCACATTGTGGATATGGATTCTCTTAGCTTGCATGGCTGGATCCTTCTTCCCGCTAATGCACGCATGCCGACACATCTGCAGCTATAAGCGAGTTATGTTGGCCAACTTGGGCAACTTTGACTTTGAGAATTTGGCGTGCGCGCATGAGTGCGACAGGGCCATCATCCGGGAAGCTATAGTGCGCTGGTATGGCAGCGTGGATGCTTTTTCGGAATTTGTCCGAGGCCCGTTCTGCAAGGTAGTACATGACTCCGTCAAGACTCCAGGAGGTATGCCTTTGGGATATGTGTTGATGCTGGCGACCCCTGGCTTGAACACTGCTTTGGACTTCTGCCTCTCTTTGTTGCGTACGAATGCTCCCGTCGAAGCTGTCTCTCGGCAGATGTTCAAAAGTGCTTAACAGCCATTCTCGAATGAGACAAATAGTCCCGATGAATCCCTGAGAACCTTATACAGGGCCCCACGAGCCTCAGAGTGATCTGAGAACATCCTCAGCCCTGAAGGTACATTGGGGCTGAGGTTCCCCGTAGTAGTCACCATGAGCTTGTACAATGCTTCTCTTCATAGTTGAGAAGCATCGACCCTAGCTAGGCCGTAGCAACCCGTAGAAGTACTCCGTGGGAAGTTTTCTTTGGTTAGTTGTAATCAGCCCCTAAAAAGTTCAAAACCTTATCTGGACCCCACCTGTTTGGAGTATGTCCCATAAGATACCTATAAACATATATGAGCTGTAGTCTAAACTCCTTGAAGAAAATTATATAGGAACTTTTGAGTTCTAGTAAGAGGGATACTGGGAGTTTAGACTATAGCTCATATGACACAACCCAACAAAGCAGGACATTCAGGGTGCAGGTAGACAATGGAGACCTATCTCAAATCCATTTTGGGGTTTAGGGTTTAGGGCTGATAATTGGTCAAGGGTTACAGTTAATGGGGAACCGAATGGAAAAGACAATCAACAGCATATGGAAACTCGGAAGCTATTTGGGAATGTATAGCAACTAGCTTAAACTAACTAATGTTGACATTTACACATCATGCATAATATTAGTATACTACATCACCAGAATTTCCAAGGTTTGTGTACGCAGCATCATGCATTTTTAGTATCCGCCGTAAGTAAGCCTTACACTCAGGTTTGGACATACCCTAAACCCTGACCTTAATGAGAAGCAGAGTACGCCGGCATAATCCTTCTGCAAGTCCCAGGCATTCCCTTATCACTAGGCCATGAAACTGTTTTTAGGGTTTCGAGTTTATGGGAATTTCCCGAAAATTCAGGGTGCCCTTTTCGGGGTCGCCAGAATGCGGATGATGTTATTTTGGGAATTATCCCCTAGTTTATGGACACTACCGCCATATAACCCCACAATGACCCAAAGCACTGAGGCCTGATTAGCAAGGCCGAACCACGAACCCTAAACCCACAGACCCTGAACCCTAAACCCCAAACCCCAAACCCCAAGCCGCGAATGGTGAACCCCCAAGTAAGCCCAAACGCAGATTTGGACATGCCCTACATCAACCAGGGACCATAATTCTCACAAGCAGAAACTCAGGTTTGGACCTACTCTGCAGTCATCTTAGCATTGGCTGTCTTGGTCTACCCTGCCGACGCTCAGTGTTCACTTGAGTGTTAGTGAGGGGCAGTGACTTCAGGCGATAAAATGGGATGTAGTGCGTGGAGTTCAGGGCGGGGTCTAGGTTTTGGGTTTTAGGTTCAGGGCTCGTGGAAGGAATGCTTTTGGGATCCACTCCCCCCTTTCTTTCAAGCAGCCGGAAGGTCTTTGGTTGTGGTCTCTATGCCTGCGACCGATGGGCCAGAGATTGGTGGGCAGTTCTGAAGAACTAATCTCTTCCCCGCAAGGTAAAAACCGCACCATCCCAAACGTAAATGTTCCGCAGAAGAGATCCAGACAGACCCCCGAGAAGTCAACCACAACATTGCAAAGCTTTTCACCTCATACATCTGTATGCACCGCTACATACCCCTTGCCAACGGCTTGAAATTCCTAGGCCCTAAAGACCAAGCCACCAGGTCCTGCAAACCTGCCGCAGTAATGCAGACTATTGGAATTAGTCTCGTGGTGTGGCTCCTGTTTGCGCTGAGTACGGTAACTGGTCAATCCGTGTCTCTTGGAGTGATTTTAAAGTTTTTTAGGTGTATATTCGGGGATTGTGTAGGGACTACCACTCTCCCCAAACCCTAAACTCTAAACAGACACCAGTAAGGTTTTGGGGGAACTTGCTATTTCCTTGGTCTTTGCTGCTGTGGCTTGGGTCTGCCCTTCTCTTTGCCTGCTTCGTATGGAGGCGACTGTTTTGGGCAGAAAAGTAGAAGCGATTACATATATATATATATATGTATATATATATACATATAGACTCTCATGGAAGTAATTGGCGAATTTTGGTGATTATAGGTATCGATCTTAGGGCTTGAGGTTTGGGTCTGGAGGTTCACGGCTGTCGAATCGCGGTATGAGACCGTTTCGCGAAGCCTCTAGTTGTAAGGGAAACTCGAACAACGGGGATGTGCCTCAAATCAGTTCAACGGAACTAGTGGGGGTCCCTTGTTGCAAGTTCCCATAAGACATTGGTGAGTCGTAACGTGTCAAGGCCTTGACTGGGGTGACCGCGAATCCAAAACCCTAAACCCAAAACCTCAAGACAGCCCTAAATCCTAAACCCTAAGCGCCGAAATCTCATCATGGACTGAGAGCCCTAATCCTCAACCTCTGACCCCTCTGACCCTTGTTCCAGCTTTCGAATTGCCCGGAGGTGTCTCTGGCAGCTGCGAGGCCCGTTCACATCCTGAGCAGATGCGATTGGTTCTGGGTTTAGTGTTTGGGGTTTAGGGTGTCGGACTAGGGTTCAGGGTTTAATGTGCAGGTTGTGGCGGGTTCTTGGCTAGAATTGTCTCACCTGCGTCAATTCATGTAGAGGCCTCTGCAACTGAATCTGGTTTCAGTTGGGTGCCCTTGATTATCTCGCTGGCGTTCATGTCAAGGGTTGGGAGATGTTGGGAGCAAATCCCTTGTATGGTCGCTATGCAATGCCCTAGAACTGCACATCGTCATTCTCTCAACCCTCCCAAAACCCTCAAGCCCAGAAAGGTGCCCTGGACGTCAGAATCTCACCTCACAGACCCCTGAGAAATACAGCTGCGGCAAAAGCCCACTCCCCTCCTAAGTTTCCCTCTAATAGGGCTGGGCTACGGGTCGAGGGTTTAGGGTTTTGTGTACAACAAGGATGAGCAGAACTGGACTTACAATCTTACGTATGATTGCGGTAGCCTAGATACGTCCAGTTAGGGGCATATTGGTAAGGTTCGAAGCCCTTTTATGAGTAGTTACTCAGCTGAAATAACAATCTTTGAGCGCGGCAGCAAACTCTAAAGCTAGGTGGGTGGCTCTTACTTAGCTCAAATAGCAAATTCCCTTGGTAGTGAGGAGGCGGATTGTTTAGGTAACACATGAATCCACTTCCAGAAGGTACGGGGACAACCTACCCCCCGAGCCCTGACACTTCACCATGTACCTATTGTGTGCGTAATAAGAGGGCTTTGGTAACCTAATCCCCTATAAAAGAAAAGAGAATCAAATGGAACAGGGTAAAGGTCAGGGGAGGTATGGGTTACCTTGAAAAACATCAAGAAAGTATCCACCAAGATCCCTGGCTCTTTTTAGGGTAATGGGGATGAAGTTAGTGTCCAGAGCAGCCACATGAGAAGATAGCAGAAGTCATGCAACATCTTTTTGAAAGACCTACAATAACCCCTCTAGCACAAGAATCGATCCTCGACATGTGACCTGTTTGTTGTCTGGCGGATTGAACGATGCTGCCACGACCTTGCAGAATTTTATGAAGGGCTTCTCCACACTGAGGGGTTTCTGTTTAGGGTCCCCAAAAGCCTCCCCACTACAGGGCAAACCCTTGACCTCGAAACCGTAACCCCTAAACCTCTACATTCTCTAAACGCTGAGATGTCCAAAGCAACATCCTAGCTGGACTTTCCAGTGCAGTTCTTTTTTTGGTGTCGGTATTTTTCCACAAAGATCCTTATCAGGACCCCATGAAGAACTACACTGGAGGGTCCAGGTAAACATTAGACACTTCACACTAAGCTCCTCGCACCCTGAGACATATGGTACTCTGGCCCTAAACTCTTAACCCCCAAAATCTAGACCCCCAACCGCTACACCCAGAACGTCTCCATGTATCCCTGTATAGGACACTCTTAGATTGCGCAAGGCAACCTAAACCCTGGCATCCCTACTGACCCTTGCATAATCCCTGTTTAATTCCTAAACCCTTTAGATTACCCCTTTGGAAGTACTACTGTAGTTCCCATGAACCCCTGAGCCTAAACCTCTATAGCCCCCCCTTTAAGTAGACAGAATATGGAATTGCGCAATATCATAACAAGATTCCCACATATCCCAAATTCTATCTACTTAAGGGGGACTATAGCCCCAATATATACCCTATTATAATATAGTAGTTTCCATTTCATTTTCCATTATCCCGACATAACCCTATAAAACCCAATACTCTATCTACTTAAGGGGGACTCTACCCTAAACCTTCAACCCTAAATAGCAGCTTCCATTTTTTCATTATCCCTACATAACCCCTATATCTACTTAAGCGGGACGATATGCTTTCGGAGCCATGGCGGGCCCCGGAATTGGTCCTTGGGCCCAAGGCGTAGTGGATTGGACCAGGCATGCATGAAGCCAGAGCTGGGGCTCCTGAAAGCTTAGGGGTTGGAGGTTCAGAAGGCAGGGTGTAGGGGTTTAGGGTTTGGGGCGACTTGGGGCCCCCTATCCCATGATTTCAAAGTTTAGGGTTGAGGGTGTAGGGCTGAGTTTCGAAAATGTTGAGGATTCAGGGTTATAGGGCTGAAGGCTGGCGGCATGCGGCTTGGGGCTTCTACGGATTACATTTGTACATTACAGAAGCTTCTCTTCCTCAAGCAAACATGGTTCTCCTCAATATTAGGCACTAAGCTCCAAACCTATAGATCCGGTATTATCCCAGTTTCCATGCTCATTTCCTGAAATTAGGAGTAATAGTAGTAGTAAGAGCAATGATAACATCAATAGTAATAACAAGAGGAAAAATAGCATTCTAAATGATAATATTTCCTTTCCTTATGAAATTTCCCACCCTGACCCTAAACCCTAACCCTAAACCCTAACCCTAAACCCTAAACCGCGTATGATTTTCCAAAATCTGTTTACGCCCACGGTGTCAGGCACGAGTCCTTGGATGTGGGAGCGGGGCAGCTTGGAATTGCATTCAGAGGTCTGGGTTGCTGTTTAGGGTTTAAGGTTTAGGGTTGAGGGTTTAGGGTTGAGGGTTTAGGGTTTAAGGTTTAGGGTTTAAGGTCTAGGGTTTAGGGTTTGGGGTTTAGGTTCCTAGAATAAGGAAACCCTACTATTTACTTTTATATACCCATCTTCTGGTAACTTTATTTAAATTCCTTAACAGCAACCCGGACGTTGCCACCTCCCTACTTAGGGCCTTCTCTCGAGTTCAGGGCTGCTTTCAGGTTGCGAGCTTAGGCCTAGGGCGTTGGTTCCTTTTCCCTTACTACAAATTATGCCAGCTGTTCGGCGGGGTCCGATTGTTTGATAGTAGGGGTAGTGTCTTTCAGGGAATGGCCCAGAACCTCCAAAACTTCTAGCCGACCATTGTAGCCCTAATATCCCCTGAAATAATGTTGAGGTTCCCGATATGTTTAAAGAATGTTCCTGAAGTTTTGGGAGTTAGAGGTACCAAGGGTACAGGATCTCAGGGCTTAAGTAGGGCATGGGGACTAGGGTCAGTAATCTCGGCAAACTACAACCACTTCACGCGACTTCATCCCAACTAGTATGGTTTACAGTTTAGGGTTGATCCATAGAGCGTAGCATCCCCAGGAGCAATCTAGACAATCTGCTTCCGCGATTCTGTAAACAGGCATCGGGAAGGTTGGGGGAGGAGGGGGCTCTCTGTAAATGAGAAAACAATAGAGTCAAGGAAAAGGATCTAGCCGAAACCCTACACCCACTTAAGACGCAACACCGGAAGTAGCATTACAGGAGTTTTGGGACAGAAATACAGGTTGCACAACTCAGGACAAATTTTGATGCTGCTCAGTCCTATTATTGTAGTTTCCACAAGTAGGGGGACTCCAATATGGACCCCAACATACCATAATCCCTTACTATACGGACCCAAGAAGAGAGTTTCCTAATTTGGGGACACCCCATATATGCTTAACTGCTACCTACAACCGCAAACAAATTACACTATCGGCAGCTGGGCTTCTAGGGTATGGTCATTCTGGTGTGTTGGGGACTTATGATCCCTTGTTACTCCAGACCGGGGCACTTGTGAGACTCACAATTACTTAATGCCTCCATGCATAAATGGGCTGCAGGTATCCCAGCCCCACAACGGTTGGATTCTCAACAAGTCCCAGACACCTCAAGAAAAAGGTCTGAGTTCCATTATTACCCCCTTTGGAATGCTACTTCTTAGGGGCTCTATCCTATCTGCCGGGGCCCAAGGAATCCACCCGAATGAGGTCCCCTTGTGAGGCCCTTGGGTCCTTGTGAGGCCCTTGGGTCGAGCTTTCGGGTCATATGGCTGACGCATACACCAGAGCTGGCGATAGTACTGTAAGGGCTTGCGCCATCCTTCAGTAGTCTAGCAGCGATGGGTTCAGGATACTGAGGCTGTCCCAAACTTAGGGACCCCCAAACTTTGGGGGGTCTCACCAAAAGGATCATAGCATTTGGGTGTTTATATTGGGGTCGGCCTATTTCGGGTTCAGGATATTATGATTTCTCTCCAGCCCCT